AACCTTTCCTAATTTCTAAACTTGCCAACCACTGCAAGTGACACAACCCGGCACGGAGCTTCTTGTAATACCTGACCGCGCTACATTAACCAATCTAGAAAACAGGAACAGTAACCTTACAATATTATCCCTTTAAGAATTCTACTAAATAGAAATCATCTAAGGTTTTTCACTAAAAGATTTGCTTTTCATTTTCCATTTCTTTGATACTTTTCCCACTCAAGTACTTTCCTGGTTTAGTCTTTCACTCATTTCTTCCCCTAAGTGGCTGTAATATATTTCTGAGAATCTTTAATTCATATCTAGAAAACAAAAAATGTCCATAATAGTTTGCTTTCTTTTTCTGTTTCATAATGGTCTCATTTCTGTGATGTCAAAGTTACCTTTTTCCTGACTCCCATTTCAAATATAGAAGGGGAAAGTGCATAAAACAAACAAACAAACAAACAAAAAACTGAACAAGCTAAAAAAGAAAAAAAAAACTGACAAAGGTAGAAAACATTCTGCAATATTCGCAACTCCTTCAGAAACTGGAAAATGAAACTAAAGTTTACCACCAATGGGCTAAAAGTGCCCATTTCCAGTAATAGCTAACACATTTTATCAAGACAATTTGGTGAACAGCCTCTTAAAGGTCATTTTTTATATAAATAAAAGAAAGTATTGAAAACTAAATTAATAGTAAATGCTGAAGAATATACTATACTATTTTCCTCTCTCAACTGCTCTTTTCTTGAAGAGACATGCATGATTTTTAATGGAATGAATTTACAGTCTATCTTTTCCCTGTTCTTTCATTATTTGTAACTTTTTCACCTTTCTTAAATCTTTCTTACACTATCAGACTCAGATTAGATATGATCACTTTCAGGAGGCCTCCCCTGACACCCAAGTTGGGCTAAAACTTGATATTTGTGTTTCCACAACACCTGGCAGTACTCACCCTATTATATTCACATTATCTAGTTTCTGAATCTATTCTCTTACTATCAGGTAGGACTTAATCTCAGTCATTTTTCTATTCCCAAAAATAGCACTGACAAAATAGTGTGTATAGAATATATATTTGTTGGATGCCAGCAGGAAAGTCTTAAGAGGCAGACAAGTACAATGTGGCCAAATAACAATTGCTAGTCTTTCTCTTGCCTCTGCACCATCAAAGACGCTCTATCCTCTGAGTGAACGGCTGTCTTTCTACTCCTACTCCTATGGCCCAGCTAACTTCCTGTCACTTTTTAAGCCTCAGCTTAAAAAGCCTCAGTTGTCACTTTCTCTAGGATTGCTGAACTAATAAGCCGGATTTAGGAGCCTCATCTACAGCCTCCCTTATCTATCTAATTTTCTCTATTATAGGACTCTGCTTCAGTGAACTCTTTGCTTGTCCAAATTTTCCAATCAACTATGTTGTATGAGAACAGTGAGAAAGAACACACCGTCACTATTGAATCCCTGAAACATTAACATTGACTGCTACTAGGGTGGGTGATCAAGAATTAACTGATATTTCTATGGACTTGATGGTTTTATAGGTAAATACTTATCCCCAAACTCATTGAGTTGTACACATTAAATATGTACAGCTTCTTACATATCAATTATATTTCAATAAAGTGGTTTTAAAAATTCATAAATATCCTTTATCTGTCAAGATCAATTAATAAACATTCAGAATGAATACACAAATCGATGAATATAATCCCACTGTCATACTGAAATTTGTTGGGATAAAAATTACGCAAATACTCAATTCTCATTTTCAGATTTCTGGATTATAGAAAAAGAAGGGCCAGGCGCCGTGGCTCATGCCTGTAATCCCAGCACTTTGGGAGGCTGAGGTGGGTGGATCATGAGGTCAGGAGATCAAGACCAACCTGGCTAACATGGTGAAATCACATTTCTACTAAAAATACAAAAAAATTAGCCAGGCATGGTGGTGGGCTCCTGTAGTTGCAGCTACTCGAGAGGCTGAGTCAGGAGAATGACATGAACCCAGGAGGCGGAGCTTGCAGTGAGCAGAGATGGGGCCACTGCACTCCAGACTGGGCGACAGGATGAGACTCCATCTCAAACAAACAAACAAACAAACAAAAACAGAAAGAAAGAAAAATAAGAGTAGACAAATGTGAAGACCTTATTTTACACTGAATTTATTTGAGGAATAATCTTTTAGAAATTCTTTTCACTGAATTTATTTTAGTAATAATCTTTTAGAAATTCTTTTCACTGATTTTAGTAATAATCTTTTTGAAATTCTGTCACCTAGTTGAAATTCATCAATTATTTTAGCAAATAAACAATAACTGAAAGTTTACTCAGGAAAGGTTGTTTTAGGATGTGTATCATGTCTGAATTTATTAATTATACCTAAATTACACAAATTATACTATTTTAAAATTTCTTATTTCTTATTTTTTAATACCTGATTTTCTCAGCCATCTGCTTTAAGTTTTCTGGAGTTTGGGGAGTTTTTGACCACTTTTTGAATTTTTATCCTTCTAGAAAATCCCTTTGCCATCCTGCTCTGGCTCAGTTCTCCTCTTAGATTTCCAATAATCCCTCCCCGTGTCCTCGACTGGCTCTCTTCTTCCTATTAACTGAGACCTTTCTTTTAGTCTTTTGCTTCACATTTTCCCCTCATTGCTTCAATAATTCTGTCTTCTTCCATGAAACCATTGCTACTTAGTTAACAACTCCTAAATGTATATCTATAATCGATTTTTTTTTTTCTTTTGAGATGGAGTATAGCTCTGTCGCCCAGGCCGAAGTGCAGTGGAACAATCTTGGCTCACTGTAACCTCCACCTCCCAGGTTCAAGCGATTCTCTTGCCTCAGCCTCCTGAGTAGCTGGGATTACAGGCGTGTGCCACCATGCGGGGCTAATTTTTGTATTTTTAGTAGAGACGGGGTTTCGCCATTTTGGTCAGGCTGGTCTCAAACTCCTGACTTTGTGATCTGCCCGCCTCAGCCTCTCAAAGTGCTGGGATTACGGGCATGAGCCACCATGCCTGGCCATCTTTAATCTTAATAACTTCTCTAAGCCCACATTTCTAACTAGGTATTTCACTGATATTTCATATTAATACACCCAACATTAAACTCATTTACTTCTGAATGTTTTTATCCTTTAGGATGACAGCATCATTCATTGTCATCCAAGCTCAGACCTCAGAGCCATATTTTACTGTCTTGATCTCATCATTAAAACAATTTATGCTGTACTACTATTCTAGTGTATCTCATGTCTGCCTCTGCATCCTATTTCCATCATCATCACCTTCCTTTAGAATCTTGTTATTTGCCTAGAGTCAACTAACTATGTGACCACCTCCCAACAATTTTCTCTACCACTATCCCTATGGTACTCCAAGTCTATCCAACTTCCAACAATGCATGAGCTATGGAAAAATGCCTCTCTGCTTGACGTTCAAACCTGGCATAGCAAGTTTCATCTAAACTTGAGGGTGTGAGATACAAGAAATGAGAAAGGATTTATTCTTATTCCAAACAGGTAGCACAACAGATACTCAACAAATATTTCCTAAAATGGAATTTTATTATGTATTACAGAAATGGTATCATGCCACTCTCCTGTATAAAGAGCTTTAATGGTTTCCCATTGTCTAGAGGATATAGTTTTCACTTCAGGGTTTACCTTTGGCTCTTGTATGCCTCCTTCTTCCTTCTCTTGTCACTTGTGGCCAGGCACTCTGGGATCCAGCTGTATGGCACCATTGGGTGCCTTTAGTAATGGGCCTATGCACATACCACTCCCTTTGCAAATAGTCTCTCTTTTATTATTTGTATGACTCCTATTTATCCCTTAAGATTAAGGGATCAGAAACTTCCTTGACCCATTCTGAATCAGCTGCTCTTAAGATAAAGCATAATTTTGTCATTAACGCTTACTACATCTGTCTGTTTCTCTGTATCTCTCTCACGATACGGTAAGGTCTTTGAAGTCAGGAATCCATCTTTTAATTCCCTGGGGTCCACCACAGTACTTGTAGTTCATACATTTTGGTGAAAATACTTTTTTCTTCTACTAGTTATGCAACCAACTAGCTATATGTCTTTGGACAAACTATTTAATTGACCAGATTTAATTTTCCACTTCAGGCCTATTGGCCTCTATGCTGCACTACATTCGAACCAGACCACTTGAATTTTCTAATGTTTATATTGTTTTCCAATGTCATTTTTAACTTTAACTTGTTGGAATTTTTCCTATTTGTAATACATCAGTGTCACACACCATCATCTAATTTCACCCAATGTTTTTTTCAATCTTAGAGTACTTTGTAAGACGTCTTCATAATTAGAAAAATATTTTGTCAAATATTAGAGTTAATCACCTATTCACCTTATTCCATAAACTATGACATAAAATGCTTTGCAGTAGCCGGGCGCGGTAGCTCACGCCTGTAATCCTAGCACTTTGGGAGGCCGAGGCGGGCAGATGATGAGGTCAGGAGATTGAGACCATCCTAGCTAACACAGTGAAACCCTGTCTCTACTAAAAATACAAAAAATTAGCTGGGCATGGTGGCAGGCGCCTGTAATCCCTGCTACTCGGGAGGCTGAGGTAGGGGAATCACTTGAACCCAGGAGGCGGAGCTTGCAGTGAGCTGAGATTGCACCACTGCACTCCAGCCTGGTTGACAGGGTGAGACTCTGTCTCCAAAAAAAAACAAAAAAAACAAAAAAACAAACAAAAAGCTTTGTAGTAAGAATCATGTTCTATATGTTTTGTGTTTCTCCTAAATAACACTGTCCCTGCAACACAGATTAAAAACTCAGTGTTAAATTAACGAAAATCTGTGTTACAATGAATACTAGGACATGTTGTAACAGACCTCGGATAGCAAAACTGGGAGTCTGACCAGAAGAATCTTTCACTACATTAAGCAATATCTTCTTTTATGACCTCTATAATTTTGAGACGTAACGTTCTTATTTACCAATAATTCTTTCCTTCAGCCCTAACCCTTCAATCAACTTACTTTATATTCTCATTTGCAGGTACTTCAGGCAGTTGCACAGTAATCATGCCATCCAAGTTGGTCTTCCCAATGAAGGCAGGCTTGGTACGTAACACATCCGGTGCAGTCTTTGCTGTGACCCTGTGCTGCAGCCCACCAGCACTATTCCCACGATTTGTCAGCACGAATGAATATGACTTCTCAGGCTTCAGGTTGACAATTAACTTCTGTGTGGCTCGGCCATCTACTTCTTCTACCATTTTCCCATCATCATAAAGAATCTAAAGAGACAAAACCAATCAAAAAAATCTGATTGTCAGAGAGGCAAAATATATTTTCTAAACCAATGTGCCCTTGCTCATGGAAAATGTCTATATAGTCAATTCTACTTTTAGGTGACTTCTAAGCCCATGAGTGGTCATAATTCTGGAGATCAAATCAATTTTCCTGTCATTTCCTACTGTGTCATGATAAAATGTTTCCAAGTCTATCAAAAATATACAAAGATATATATATATATACACACATACACACACACACACACACACACATATTTACCAATATTAGACCTCTCAGTTGTATGTGCTCTCAATGGAATATGTGCAGAAAAGCTCTACGTTTCAATGTATTATCAATATTGCTAATTTTCTAAAGGTTTTGGTTCCTCTTTCTAAATATATTTTTACTTTCAAAAATGTTTCTCTATTTCTTACTTCATAAATATGTACTTACTAACATCTCTTAATGGCAAGTCAGAGTTTAAAATGTGCCAACAATACAGGCCAGCGAGTAAATTCAGAAACCCCCAGGGTATTTCAATATAAATAGGTAGAAACCACGTACATTTCATTCTCTGGCTGAAAAACAAAAGCACTAGCTTAGATGTAAAAAGTTCAAGTTCAAAGTAGTAGGTAACTTATAAGTGATGCCAGCCCTGGGTTTGAGCTCCTGCTCCCTCTTCAGAGTGAAAAGAACACACTTGCAAAGCACCCAACGATCTCCCATGTGAAAGTCACAAATGAGAACAGCAAGGACATGTGGCCAAAATGAAGTGGTCTGCTTGCGGTGCAAATAACTTACCCAGATAAACGGTCCCCTCTACTTTTATCTGTGATTTCTTACTAATGAGAAAACAACTTACTTTGAAAGGCATGGCAGAGTTATAATTCTCTGGAATCTCCCAAGACAGCAACACGGAAGTCTTCATTACTGCTTTGACATGAAAATTTTTTGCAAACACTGCTGGAAAAGGAAAAACAGTGTATTTAAACTATTCTTAAAACAGATGACCTGTCCTTTCCACCATGGACCACAGGGCTTATGCTAGATGCTGTCTACTTTGATCAGAGAGAGAGAAGTATGATTTTCCTACCTGTTTAGAGCATTCATTTTAATACCCCAGTCTCATAAAGATCTTTCCTTTCTCTCCAATTCAGCCAACTATATTGTGTTTTCCTTACCTGAGGACATTGGGGAGCTGTCAGCCAGACTTGCTTGACATTCTATAACTGAAATCTAAGGCATCCAAGACGTAGTAAGTTTTACATACTTTACCTTTTTGTTTTTGCTGAACCTATTAATATGAATGGGCTGATCAGTTATTATAGCTTCAAAATACTGATTTCCAAAGACTGATATTCCTTTAAAGGAGGAAGGCCGTAAGCAGACAAATCCTACCTTGATCCACAGGCAGTGTCCTGAACTGGACACTGGGACTATATGGCCCGGGCCCTTTGCTCGTATGAGCACGTACTTTTACATCGTATGTGGTATCTGGTTTTAAGCCAGTGAGTGTCATAGTGGTGTCAGCTGGAACAATAAGCTGCTCCATTGGGAGAAGGGGGATGTTGATGTCCCTATAAAGAAGGGTATACTTGGTGATAATGCCATTTCTCTCTGCCAGGACAGGTGGTTGCCAAGATAACTGGACGGAGGTTGAAGTAGCGCTTTCTGAGTGAAGGTTTTGAGGGAATCCAGTTGGTACTTCTTCTGGAATGGAAATCTCCTTCACCATTTCCTCCCCAAAGCCCACTTTGTTTCTGGCTGAGAGCCTAAAGACATATGATGCTCCTTTGTGGATGTCTGTAGCTGTAAAGTGATCTTCTTTTTCAGAGAACTCGAGAGTAGTAAGCGGCTCCATATCCTTGCGGCCAAATTTTAGACGGTAGCCCTGAAGAGGTCCGAATGTGTCCACAGGAGGGTGCCACTGAATGAGAGCAGTATTCATCTGAGTGTGGTTAATCACAAGCCGAGGTTTCCCTGGAACTGGAGCACATGGGATGGTGTGGTAAGATCAACCAATCTGAATGTCCACATTTCAGTCATTGCCAAATGAGGGAGTTCCACTCTACTGGTATTCCCATTTTCTTACTTACCCAAACAAAACAAAACAAAACAAAAAAGGCAATGTTTGACCTACATACCTTTGTGGAAATATGCTCTTTGTCTTACTTTATTACAGTAGGCTGAGATACTAGAATTTGATAATGGACACAAACAGAAATTATCATTGAAACAACAGCTTAAGGGAATTTTTTTGACACCTGCACATTTTAAACCTTCACACATAAAGGTTCATATCAAAGATAAATTAATTCGAGCAAAGATCAGCCAATTAGATATCACTAATAATAATAACTATAATGATTATTTATTCATTGAGTATGTGCAATGCACAGGCGCCATGCTAAGTGCATTGCATATAGTGTTCACAATTGGTTTACATTCCTGACTCCTCACTACATTCTTGGATTAGTTATTATTATCTCTATCTTCTATAATGAGAAAATGAGGCCCAGAGAGGTAGAAAATTGTCCGAGGCCAGCGTGTAACAAGTGAGAAAGCTATAAGGCAAACCCAACTCTGTCTGAGTCAATTGCTTAAATGCTTAATTGTGCTGTTATGTTGCTTAAACTTAAAAAAAATAAAATAATATCAAACTGACTTACTATGAATCTAATTTGCATTTTCTGTCTAACTTTACTATCCACATCATTCATCTTCATCAAGTTCTTCATCTGTAAAATGGGAATTATATTAAGATCTACTTTATATTGTTCTTGCGAATAATAAATGAGGAAATTCATGTAAAGTCTTAGCATGAGGTTCTGCATTCTATTAATATTAATCAATTATTCATAATCCAAATATTAAACTTTTTATGGTGAAGGGCTAGCTTCCAATGAGTACAGAATTTATTTACCTTTTAAGTTAGAAATGTGAAAAGTTCTAATCTACTCATTCAATGCATTATCATATCTGTATTTATTTTTAATGGAGAGCAATTATTCCTGGAATCCACAACAAAAGACATTGAGGGAGGATCATCAGAATCAAAACTAAACCAAGTTAACAGAAAGAAGAAGAAAGGCCAAGTATGGTGGCTCATGTCTGTAAACCCAGTAGTTCGGGAGCTGAGGTGGCAGGATTGCTTGAGACGAAGAGTTCAAAACCAGCGGCTGGGCACAGTGGCTCATGCCTGTAGTCTCAGCACTTTGGGAGGCAGAGGCGGGTGGATCACCTGAGGTTGGGAGTTTGAGACCAGCCTGACCAACATGGAGAAACCCCGTCTCTACTAAAAACATAAAAATAGCTGGACATGGTGGCGCATGCCTGTCATCCCAGCTACTCAGGAGGCTGAGGCAGGAGCATCACTTGAACCTGGGAGGCAGAGGCTGCAGTGAGCCAAGATTGTGCCACTGCACTCCAGTCTGAGCAACAAGAGCAAAACTCCATCTCAAAAACAAACAAACAAACAAATAAACAGCCTGAAAACAGCTTGGCAACATAGCAAGACTCATCTCTACAGAAAAAAAAAAAAAAAAAAAAAAGGCATGGCGTCACATGTTTGTAGTCTTAGCTACTCAGGGGGCTGAGGTGGGAGAACTGCTTGAGCCAAGAGTTTGAGGCTACAGTGAGCTATTGATCACACCACTGCTATCCAGCCTAAGTGACAGTGAAACTATGTCTCAAAATTATGAACATGAAGAAAAAGAAAGATGGTAGGAAAGGAGGAAAGCTTACAGTAATGGGAGCCAGGTGATAAAAAATCATACCATGGGGATATAGATTAAGGTAAAAAAAAAATCACTAAAAAGATTATGAGACAATATATAGAATATTAACCTCAGAGATGGACTGATTAGCCTCTTCATTTTGTATTTCAGAAAGTGAGACCAGGTGGAGATGTGCTCTGCTCTCAGAAATATCATTAAGATATTTACTTCCTTAACCAATGGAGTAACAGTTTTGTTTCACATGCTGGGAAGATTCATAGCATGCTTATGTAACTCAGCTAACCCACAATGTATGAAAATAATACTCTCTAAAGTTTTTAGATAAATAATTACTCAATAACGTGTGTTGTGTTATATATGTAAAACATGTGTGTTGCGTTGTATATATAAAACATGTGGGTTGAAGGTAGGCCCAGGAACCACATCATTGTGTACTCACTGTGTTCCTCAGGAACAATGCATCCAGAGATCTTAACAATCAACTAACCCTCTCAGAACACAATCCATCCATAAGTTGGAGACTGTGTGAACTATTTCATTTGCTTTTAATGTATTTACAATTATCTTAATTTTAAAATAGTACTTTAAGGTAGAGACACTGGCAGACATCTTTAATTCCCCTTTGTGTATACATAGCATTTACATGATTTGTCCATGAAAATGTCAGTGATGGTCTCAAGGATTAAACACCTGAGTCTCTGCTGTGAAAAATCCATGGTGAAATAGAGCTTTCAGCAGAGAATACAGCCTTTAATATATGAAACTCAGTTGAAACAAGTGGGTGGAAACACAACTATTAATTCTCAACATTCTCCAGGACAACAGATTAAAAATATTTATTAAAATTTTCTGAAATTCTAGTTCCAATGAACTGCATAATAATATATACACTGTGTATCCTGTTTCTGTAAGATGCATGTAAAGCTAGGATAAATAAAAATAATTTCTTGATATACCACAAATATAGATTGCATTCTAATATTTGTCATTTATGAGCATGTTCTTATTAACTGATGTTTCACTTTATAATAATGCTATGGTACACATTTGGAGAAATATAATGGGCTGGCAAAGTCTAGGAAAAAACTCACTGACTTTGTAAATGTATATATTTATTCTTCTGTGGGAGTTAAAGCTTAGGATGGAGTAATCTCTTTTGTTTTCGATGTTGGCATGACTTTTCTTATTCTGGGACAGAAAGGCTTGTTGGCTTGGAATCACAAGGTCAAAGTAATGATCTAGAAAAAAGAGCGTTAGTTCTGACCTACTGGCTTCCCCTGCTGTACACAAGGATCTTAGTCTGCTCTCTATTGCCAAACCCACAACAGTCATTCCTTCCCTGGGCAGAAGTTTTACTAAGCCTGAAAACTATGAGACAACCAGCCTGGAAGTGCCACGAAGCATAAAGGAAGGGCTCAGTAAAGAAATGAATGCTTGTGCAGCTTGGGGAAGAACTCCCAATTTTCACCTCAGGAGAGGCTGACCCCATGAAGGGTCACACGAAGGGATGCCCAAAATTTCCACAAGCATGTGAATAATAGAAATAGTAAATGAAGTTTAAATAGGCTGGAGTAAGGGTTTGGGACAGTTGTGGTATTTCATCCAGGGAATCACTGATAAGATAAAAAGGGGAAAAGGAATGAGGAGAGTTCTACATCACTGAATACATAGTTAAAAAGAATTCTCCCAAACTCCACAGATTGGCAATGGAACTCACTGCATTCCTGGCTTCCAGAAACACTATAGGTATCAAACATTTACCAATAATTCACTTTGTGCAAATACTTGTACACTGGCACACAGGTATTTGAGTGAGGAAATAAAGACAGATACAGCAGGGTCCACGTTCTCTAATACAGGCATATTCTAGTTGGGAAAATAATGAGGTGGAATAGATTGTGCGATCTGTGGAGTCTGGCTCAGGTTTCTAATGCCTTAGGGTTATTCTGTAGGCTACTTTATAGGTCATGCCAGCTGTTGGTTCAATGGTTCTGCTTACTCCAGCACTGGAGCTTGAGGGTTGGTAAGATGAAAGGGTCTTAAATAATTGCTCAGGGGAGTCAGAAGGTCACTTTTTGGCCAGGTCTTAGTGAACATATTGGAAGAATCAGAGAAGGTCCAGCTACAAAGTAAATAACTCTAATTTATATCACGACATATAAACTCTTCTCCCTTTTACATTTTCTTATTCTCTTACATTCTTTAAAAAATCTCTTAGGACTTCTGAATTGGTATATATGTGTGGTTTCCCTTTACTTTTTAGCAACTGCAATCATTGGCGATAAATTGAGGTACTTACTTGCAGTGGTTCTAAACTTAGCCCCAATTTAACCTAGTACCAAAGCAATAACAATCATAATTGACTAGACTTGGGCTAAGATTTCCAAATTCTCCCTGTCACAGTCATCTTTTGATTACCCTTAACATAGCTGTTCAATATAGTACTGAAATTCACGTAAAAATATACAGAAAATGTCAAACCAATGAATTTTCTGTTTGTTTTAACCTCAAGGCCTCAGGCAGTAAACAAATTATTACAATACAGAATAATGGGAGTATTAACAAAGAAAATACAGATATTTCATAATCATTGAAACATAAAAGCCAACATTTTCTTCAGAAGCATCCTTCAGGTTATATGAATCTCCTGTAGATTATACTTAAACTATGATCAGTACTCTTGTTTCAAAGATATGATTATTTACAGGTTCTAGAAACAAAGTATAATAAACAAACACCCCACAATCAGGAAGTTTACTATTAAAATAAAATTTCACGAGAATTCCTGAATTCTTTGTGGGAGCTGTAACTAAATACCTTTACAATTATGATTATTAGGAGCTCAACGTCTGTGAGATAAATTCAGTAATTCTTCACAGTCACATAAATAGATGAGGATTTTTAATATAGTATGCAAAACAAAATAAATTGATATATTCACTAATTGCCTAGGGATAAACCACGAATAGGGGCTGCTTATGCAAAGGAAAACTAGAGGTTCGCTCTTAAAGGAATTAAATTTGGATTCTTCTACTTTCTTCCCAGGTGCAGTGGGGAGGTCTTACAAAAGTAAATGTGTAGGCATCTAAATTGCAAGCATTTTCTATCTCAGTACCGAAGCCTCTATTGATTAAGAAGGATCTAAAATAGTGAATGAAAATGCCAAAAGAATTCTATATGTGAATAAGTTCTAAAATTCTAAAATGTCTACTGTATGGTAACTAAAAAGGGATGAGATGGCGTTAGTGATGTTAAAATAGACAAAATCATCCCTTTCTCTAAAATTCATATCCCTTGGCTATAAATCCTCTACTTTCTTGTCATCATAACATGACCCCATTTAATGGGCAATAGGTGACTGGTGCTTAATATAAGACATTTCAGAGTTATTATGACATATTTATAAATGTAGGCGAAGGAAATGCACGTTGTTCAATTTGAGATTCAACTCTTGGTTGTTGGTGTTGTAATAGAGACTGGTTCCATAGCCAGATAGTGATCATAGTGAATCATGCCTCATGCCCTCACTGAATACGTGTCTTGCTCTGCAGGGCATTAAATTAGCTTGATGTAATGGTATTTTAAAAAAAGCCCAGAAGATTCAGCTTGAAGGAGTTTTGCCATCTGTATCCTGCTGCTTGAGGCAATTCCAGGTGGTAGGATGCCGAGCGAGGCAAATCTTATGACATTTAGACAAAGCTGGCAGTGAGCTGGCACCCAGGAGGGCACTCAGCATCACAGCTGTTCTCTCCTTTATGCCTTTACATAGAGGTATCGTTCCTAAAGAGTTGTTTGAGAAGTGATTCGGGCGGAGTAATCAAATCATGGTTTCCATGTTCACGGGAGATTGCGTATACATGAGGACTGGATTTTCTGCAATTTCTCTTAATTTCCTCATTCTACA